CTAGAAGAACGATTGATGTTCTCCCAACAGCCTTCTATAGCCGGGTAGATGGGCCTTGGCCTAATCTACCTCTGATGACGGGACCAGCTCCCACCCCGCTCCAGTGCAAACTGAACCAGGTTAAAGGTTACCAGATTGTCCCCCCAACTACCAGGACCCCAATTCTGCCTTGTAGACCTGGTTAGACCAGATGATGCACAGCAGTACAGATGGGAATTGGAAATGCAGGTAATCTAGGACAGATGAACCCCTCAGGGCCAGGGATGGCAGTGGCAATACCAGGAGGGAAGTGGGGTGTAGAAAGAGGGAATTGATCACAGGGAGCTACATATAACCTCCTCTCTGGGGGATGGGCAGCAGAGGGGTAGGTGAAGGGAGACGCCGGGCAGTGTAATATAAGATATAATAATAATTTATAAATTATCAAGGGTGCATGGGGGAGGGGGGCCGAGGAAGGGAGGGGGAGGGGGGGGAAAGGAAAATGAGCTGATTCCAGGAACCCAAGAGGCAAGCGAATTTTGGGAATGATGAGGGCAACAAATGTATAGATGTGCTTTACACAATGTATAGATATGCTTTACACAATTGATGTGTATAGATGTGCTTTTACACAACCTCCCCCTTCATCCACTCTCTCATTCCCACAAGTAACCACTTTCATTAATTGATCTATGTATTGTGATGAATTGTATGAGTCCCAATAAATTGATTAAAAAAAAAAAGTTACCAGATTGTAAATGCATCTTCTAGGCATCATTACAACATCACAGAACCAGAACTAGACACCCAAAGCAAACCCATAGTACCCTATAGGACAGCATAGAAGCGTAGAACTGCCCCATAAGGTTTCCCAGGCTGTAATCTCGAAAGAAGCAGACTGCTTCATCTTTCTCCCCTGAGGTGGCTGACTTGGTGGGTTTGAACCACCCTGCCCTTGATAGGTGAGCACTTTAACCACCGTGTTGTCGATTCCTTAGAACTGGCCAGAGATAAAAACAGGTTTCTCCTGAGGCAGTGAAAACCAAAAACCAGAACCCGTGCCATCGAGTGGATGTTGACTAACAGCAATCCTACTGGACAGAGCAGACCTGCCCTTAGGGGTTGCTGAGGCTGTCACTCTTGACAGGAGCAGGAAACCCCATCTTGCTCCTCGAGGTCGTGAGAACCAGCTCAAAAGCAGCCTGAGTCTGAGCAGCCCTGTGGTGTGGGGTATTGAGGATGAGCCTTTGGGGAAAAGCACCTTTTAAAAGTCCATTTTAAGAATTCCTCTCAGATTCAGGAGCTGTTACCACTCAGTGTTGTATTAAACTCGTGTGTTCTCTTCACCTGCCAGCTGCCAGTGACTTACTAAAGGTGTCCTGAGTGTTTGGTATAGTGTCTAGTGCCCCATCGTCCAATAGAATGTTCTGGAGTGATAGAAATATTCTGTCCTACACTGCCCTATAGGTAGCCACTACACATGACTGTTAAGCACTTGAAACTTGGTGAGGGTACTTGAGAAATCAAATTTTTAATTTGAGTCAAGTCATAAACAACTTCACGTGACTAATGGCTATCATATTGGACAGCACAGGTCTAGATTTTTATTGTTGTTTCCCACCCATAGCGACCCTATGCACAACAGAACAAAACACAGCCTCGTCCTGCACCGTCCTCACAATTGTTGCCAATGCTTGAGTCCTTTGTTGCAGCCACGGTGTCAATCCATCTTCTTAAGGACCTTCCTCTTTTTCTCTGCCCCTCTACTTCACCAAACATGGTATCCATGTCCAGGGGCTGATCTCCAACATCTGTAAGACATGCCTCACCATCACTGGGGCAGGCTGGCCTCGTCCTGAGTACAATGGGAAGCTCTGAAACGCTCCAGGAGCACGCTGGCTGTACTTCTTCAGTTTGCCCTGTGAACAGTCCGTGGTACTTTCTGTATTCTTCTCCAGCGCCGGTATGCAAATGCATCTGTTCTTCTCCAGTTTTCCTCAGCTAGTGTCCACTTCACCTGGCATATGAGGCCACTGAGAATACCACGGCTTGGGTCAGGCACACTTAGTCCTCAAAGTAACCTCCCTGCCTTTACAACACTCCAAGGAGGTCTTGTGCAGCAGATTTACCCAGTATATATATGTCTTTTGATCTCTTTACTGTTGCTTCCATGAGCTTTGTTTGTGAATCCAAACAAGACAAAATCCTTGACAACTCTAATCTTTTGTCCATTGATCATGATGTTATATATTGGTCCAGCTGTGAGGATTTTGATCTTCTTTACATTGAGTCGGAATCCATACTGAAGGCTGCAATACCTTGATTTTCATCAGCCAGTGCCTCAAGTCCTCCTCACTTCCAGCAAGCAAGGTTGTGTCATCTGCATATCACAGGTTAATTAGCTTTCCTCCAATCCTGATGCCACATTCTTGTACATATAATCAATCCAGTGTCTGCTTATTTGCTCAGCATACAGATTGAGTAAATATGGTGAGAAGATGCAGCCGTGACACACACTTTTGCTGATTTTAAACTGTGTCAGGATTCCCTTGTTCTGTTTGCTCAACTGCCTCTTGATCCATGTACAAGTTCCACATGAGCACAATGAAGGGTTCTGGAATTCCCATTCTTCTCAAGATTCTCCATAGTTTGTTATGATCTTTCAGTATTGCAACTCAAGGGGAAGAAAATCAAGCCTCAAGTTGCAATATAGAAAGATTCTGTGGGCAAACTGATAAATGATATCGGAAGCATCAAAAGAAGATGGAAAGAATAGAGTCATTGTATTCAGAAATATTTTTATAAAGTGACTAGTTTTAGCAGGCAAATCTTTGCTGGGTGAGGAGGTGGGGGCGGAATAGGGAGTGATGGGCTAGAATAACCTGAAGACAGGCAGAAGGTGCAGCTTTTCTTCTTGTAGGTACAACGGTGGGGACGGGAGTAGGGTGAGCACCCAGGAAGAAGCCAGGAACTGTAGCAAGTGAAGGGACAGCAGGGACCCAAGTAGGCATGATCAACAGGCCAGTCCCTGTAGTCCTGGAGCTTACAGCCTTACCAGTGCATGCTCACAGACAAGCAAACCAGCAATTACCACTTGGTACTCAGTTTGCAATGAGGATAGGTTGCAGGGGGGGGGAGGCTGGTACTGAGCCTGCATCTGGCAGATCCTGTAAGATGCTGTGACTAATGGCTTAGATTGGAAAGAGCTGGCCTCATCCTAAGTAAGTACAACAGGGAAGCGCTGAAAGACTTAAAGCAGCTAAGTGACAGGACCAAATTTGCATTTCAGTTAGAGCACTGGGGCATTGGGCCCTTGTTAGGTTTCCAACGGTTTTTCTCCTGAACCAGCCATCTCTAGTGTCTCGTCTGGTTTATGTCTTGTCTTGTTTTTCTTTCTCTTTCTCCCTCCTCTCCTGCTTCGTTCTCTCTGGGGCCCCACGCTGTCTTCTTCCTTGATGCCCGCTCTCTGATCCAAAGATCAGCCAGTAAAAAGCAGTCTCACCTATCCAGGTAAGAGGGGATCCAGGGTAACGGATGACAAAGAACCAGTCCCTTCCCCCTTTACATGTAGAAGTTATTAGTTGATTCTTGAACAAATGATGCCTTCTCATGGTTCTGAATTTAAAACGTACAAAGGGAACATAATGAAAATACCTCCAGCCCATCCACGCCCCCTTTGCCCAGTTGTTCTCCATGGAGGCAACCAGTGTCACTAGTTTTTTGTATCTTTGCAATGATATTTTAGATATTCTATACAAACACACATATGTATAACATATCTATTCCTTCTCTGTTTTACCGACTTTTTTTACTCTCTGCATAATATTGTATCTTGCTTTTTTCACCCAACAACAGACTGTGGAGCTCATTCCTTTTCAGTTGATACAGAACCTCCTGGCCGAATACTGTGTCCTTATATTGATACCCTGGAATGTATTTAGCCAGACACCTCCTGGGAGCATTTAGATAATTTCCAATGTTTTGCTTATACAAATGGTACTCCCTTGAATAACTGTCTACATAGTTACTTCCCATCAGTATGAATTGGAGACCGCTTTCTGAGGGATCACAATGACTCATTAGGTAGCTAGCAGGTTGTGTGCTTTTTGGAAAAAGGAGGGACCTAATGGGTTTGAGCTTCTCGCATGCATCTGTCAGGAACCTAATGAGGAGATCTTGCTAAATCTGGATGGGTGGCCTGTATCTCCCCCTCCCCCCCTGAGGTTTTAGGGTCTAAGGAAGCTGCCCAGGCTGGCTATGGGAGTGAGACTGAACGTGGGGTGGGAATACTGCCACCGAACCATCTAACCAGATTCCTGCGCCTGCCAGGGTATCCAAGAGATAAATGGAACTTTCAGAGACTTGGGCCCCTCCTTTCTTATAAAGTGTCAACGTTTCCAGTTAGCCCCCCAGTTAGTACCAAATGCTCAGGCACCCCCCTAAAAACCCCTCTCTTGGAGAGGTGGAACTTTGAGGGACAGAGAGATGATGTAAAATGGGGGTTGTCACTCCTGCTACAGCCACCACAGCCCTCAGCCGCTTTGTGTTCTTGCCCACCATGTCCGTACCTTCCAGCCTCCCCTTCCTCTGCGAGTAACCACCTAACTCTAACTAGCTGTTGTTTGTTTTTTCCCTGTCTTTTTCTTGCATTCATTTTCTCTGCTGCTCCGTTCTGTTCCATCAGCCCCATTGCAGCCTGGTAAGACCCAACAAGCGTGTGATGTGTGCACACCCCTTCTTGCTATGGTCTCTTTGTTTCTTGACTCCAGGAAGGGCTAGTTCCCTTCACACCTTGCTGGGTACTAATGAACTCATACTTGCCCTGCCAGCCCAGGATTCCAGATAGGTGGTATTGCCCATGGTATAGACATGGCTCTTCTCCCACCAGATGGAGTGGGATACTGTGTGGGAGGGTGGGTCTCTCTCTACCCGAGACTTAGGGCCCCACTTTACAGGGCCTCTTACCTCTGCAAGGCTGGTCCCTCCTCCTGGAACTCATCAATGTGCTTTTCTTTCTCCAGGTTAACAAGCCTGTCTTCTCTGGGAGATTCAGCACCTGAGCGCAAGTCTCCTTCCCACCACCGCCAGCACTCTGACACCTCTGAGACCACAGGTAACCACAACCTTGGAGTTGTAGACTCGTAGGCACAGAGGGGTATGCCCCTGCAGACAGATCTTATTCTACCCCAAGAATAAGACAACCCAGCCTTTATATGAATAGTGCATATCGTGTGTGGCATTGGTTTACAGGCTTTATATCAATTGCCTCAGGGTTCTTCACAGCAACTGTAGACAGTCGTTTTTCATACCTGTATTTGACATACGAGGATGCTGAAGCACAGAGGGCTTAAGAAACTTGCCCAGGAGCCCAAGCTTGTAGGAGACAGGATCAGGACTTGATACTGGTTGTTTGCCCCCAGAAGCCACGCTGTGGCCACTACAGGCCCAGTCAAGCTCCCTGCTCACATGTACAGGGTCTAGTACCCACCCACAGGGATGGAAACAGTCAGAATCAGAACCGCTCTTTTTCAAGGTTTGCAGGGGAGTGTACATGTGAAAAAAAGAAAGGTTTCTCCTCATTGATCCTTCCTGGGATTTGGCAAAGGGTCATTCTGGTGTCACCCAGAATGAGTTATTCAGATCCGCACACAGAAAGGGTCACCTGCCTTAGGGTCATTCTGGTGTCACCCAGAATGAGTTATTCAGATCCGCACACAGAAAGGGTCACCTGCCTTAGCCGTGCGCAAAGTGTCCCAGGGGCTTTTTATCACTAATGTGAAGGGTAGCCTGGACTTGGCCCTGCCCCTTCTCTGACTGACCCAGCTAGACAAACCGAAAGGGACAGGCAAGCACAAGAGCGTCATTGGGGCCTCAGAAGACAGCACTGTCTCGCACAGAATACAAAGTAGGTTAAAGGAGTTTGAGAATCACTGAAGGAGGCAAGTCACATTGTAGTGTGTTTGGACAGGATAAGTCTGGGGAATTTGGTTCATCTGGAACTACTTCCTGGAGAAAGGAACGCACTGAGCTTTTCCTAGTGACCCTGGCTTGTATGCATTACTTCTGGTGCCCAAGCCTGCCTGACCCACTCCCACCCTTTCTTGCCACCCCCAGGCCTCGTTCAGCGTTGTGTCATCATCCAGAAGGACCAGCATGGCTTCGGCTTCACAGTCAGTGGGGATCGCATTGTTCTGGTGCAGTCTGTGCGGCCCGGTGAGTGCTACCTACACCCTTCCTTCCTGCCATGGCCAGGACTTACAAAGTGGCTATGTCTTTGACAGAGCCTCCGTGCTTTGGGGAACTTGCCCAGGCTACTCTGGGGACTTTTGGGTGGCACGAGTAAACTGTCCTTGGGAACTCGGTGGAAGGCTTCACAAAATGCTACGGCACTGGGCAGGGCTCCCGGCTCACACCTGCTGCCTGTTCCACCGGTTGACAAGGCAGACAGAGCAGCAGAGTGCCGGACCACAGTGCCTCTCTTCAAGCAGACCTTCATGTGGCCTTGCTGAGTGCCCGCTGCGCTCACTGCTCTGCAGCCCTGGCAGGATCGCTCTTCCAGATGATTAGAGGACATGGTTGCAGCTACAGCTAACACCCACTGATAAATTACTCGACGCAAAATGGGGTGTGTTGAGGCAGGATGTGAGAGGGGTGAATTGTGGTTTGGGGCACAGTCATTCCCTTGGTTTATTTTGGGATGCCGCCTTAGAAGAGATAGGAGCCCCGGTGGCACAAGGAGTCTGCAGCTCAGACCACTAGCCGCTTCTCCAGAGAAAGATGAGGCTGTCTGCTCCTGTAGAGATCTGCAGTCTCGGCAGCCCTCAGAAACAGTTCTGTTCCGTCCTCGTACGGTCACTGTGAGTTGGAATTGACTCAGTGGTAGTGGGTTTGGTTTTCTTAGAAGAAATTGAATTTCAGATGTTTGGAGGATGGAAAGAAAAATTTGAAAACAGTGACAGGAAAGGAATTTGGTGGGAAGACAGTAAAAAGTTGGAGGGCATTGTATGCAGATTATGCAAGTGACAGATTATATCTAGAAGAGTTTTGAACACATGCCACATGAACACTATCACATGCCAGGTAGTGGACCCACTGTTGTTAAATGACCCGGAAAGAGATGGAGGAAGTATGGGCGAGTGGCTAGGATAGGGTGTAGAGCACATGTCTCCAAGAGACGTGAACTTCAGTGTAGCAAATGAGATTGGGCCTGGTGACGTGGTGCATGTGGGTTAGGCTAGTTGGATGGACATCAGAAAAAGTGGAAAGCCAGGTTAGCATGAAGGAGTCCCAGTGGTGGTGTGGCTACAGTGCACAGCAGTCAAGGGAAAGTCGTGAGCCCAGTAATGGCTCCACAGAAGGCAGAGCCGACAGTCTGCTTCTATAAAGATGGAGTCTTGAGAAAGTTTTGAAACTGACCGAAGTTGCAATTATACAATTCTACTTGACATGATTGAAATATAGATTGATACGTTATATGTATTAAATCCCAACTAGTAAAAAAAAAAAGATTGAATCTTGGAAATTCTTTTTTTTTTATTTAAAAACATTTATTTTTAGGGAATTTGATTCCAGAAATATTCTATGCATGCATAGAGTTGTATTATGCTTTTGAATGATCCACTTTTCCACTTAATAATGGAAGCGCCCTTCCTTCCTGCGGCTCTGCTGTTAAGAGTTGCAGGACCACAATTGGTTTATCCATGCTCTATGGAATCGACTCCCGGGTTGAAACAAAGTCATAGCTCGGTGTGCAGCAGAATGGCCTTCACTTGGCCTCTCCTTGGAGGAGTGCTGTGAAGCCCGTCGCTGTGCTTACTCTTCAGGGAATAGTTGAGCACGATGCATTAATTACACAGCCCCTCTCTCTGATGATGCAAAGGAGAAATGTCTTGGGGGTGTTGCTGTCAAGAACAGTTGATCTTTTCGAGAGTAATCGGTTAGTTTGGGGCCACAGCCATCCCGCTGACCACCCTCGCGCCTCCTCTGCTGGGTTTGATCCTCCGTTGGAATGACCAAGCATAGACCTCTCCAACAATACTCATTATAGAGGCTCAGCTCCTCTTGGTGGTACAGGGCCGGTGAGAGGGCAGGAGAGAGAGCGCGGTTTATTGCTGCTAACCAAGGCTTATATCTCTTTTTGAATCTTGGAAACTCTAGGAGGCAGTTCTAATCTTTCCTATAGGACCACTGTGAGTGGGAATTGTCTCTGTGGTAATGGGTTCGTGTTTTTGTTTATTTATAGTGCAAATTAGGAACCAAAATGTAATTTTAGAGGATCTGGGAAACATTCATGGGACAAGTGAAAAGAAAAATTTTAATCTATGATCAAAATGAGGTCTATAGCTTATTAAAAAAAAAACCATCCTTGTCATCAAGTCAATTTTGAGTCATGGTGACCCTATAGGGCAGGGTAGAACTGGGTAGCACTTCCCCCAAGGGTTTCTGCGACTGTAACTCTTAGCTCATAGCAGCATATAAATAATTATGACTTCTTACAAAGTCTGGAGGTTAATTATTCTATCAGTGGGAGGGTTGTTTTTCATGTCCAAGAGCAGAACGCTGAGAAGATCCTTGTGGTCTTGCCTCCCTTGTTCTCTCAAGGTCCCTGGACTAGAGCGGGGCAGAGCTAGTTACTATGTTTTCCACATAGGGGGTTTCTCAAAGTGTAACTTGTAGTCTACCTCAGAATCACCCAGGCCTTGAAACTTTTATTTCTGGCCCAACCCCTGAGATACTGGGTTACTTTTTAGCAAGGGGATCAAGAACTACGTTATTTTTGGGTTTTTGTTTTAACAAATCTCTCCCATGATTCTGTGCTCACTGAAATTCGAGGGCTTCTCCTCTAGTTCACTTACTTTAAAGAGTTTAATTTTTTTTTACATCAGTAAGTTACATGTCGTCACCTCTCATGCCCATACATTCAGGCACAGGGGCTCGCTCTTCTTTCTGCTCATGAATTAGCAAGGAATACCTCTTCCTGAAAACCTAGAGCGGTGTCAGGGAAGGAAGGTTCCTGCGTTCTGCATTGTCCACTTCCGACTGGAACTCTCTCCATTGGGAGCAGCTGTCTTTGCACAAGTCCTTCTCTGACTCTGCTCTGGACGCTCGTCAGGTCGCTTCCTGTGACTGGGGATTGGGGGATGCAAAAATCCCATTCGTTCACTGAAGATGATCTCTGATATCTGAAGAACCCCTGAGAAATATTTTTAAACATCTTTATGTCATTTTTTGTCTGATATAGTGATGGATGCCTGAGGGAAAAAACTGAGTTTAGATCTACATACTAAATATTGTGGTTTAAAATTTATTCAAAATTTAATTTGTTACAATCTGGGCATAGACTGTTTTGACTTGTTCTCATTTGCCAAGTCATAAGCACTATATATATAACTTTCAATTTTGTAAGTAAAAGCATAGCTTTTTTGACAAATAAGTTTAATTGAACAATCTTCTGTGTAGTTTTAGAACTCAGTATGAATGAAAATTCAAGTTTAACTTAAAAATAGACCAGAAACCCGTTTTGTGACTTGGCATTGGGGTGGGGATGTGTGCATCTTGAGAAATTGACTGGTGTACATAATGTTCCCTTATAGTTTCCTGATGGCAGCATAAGCCCTTTGCAAGTCCTCTTCCCTGAACAAGGCACTGTAGATGAGGGACGTCTCAAGTCCCAGTGTTGAACAGCTAAACTGGAACAGTGCCCCTCTTTTAAAACAAGAAGCATCTAGATGTGCTTCATGGGAGTTTTGTTTTGATCCCCTGGATGCAGCGCTCAGATTTGATGATCAGCTCAGGGCACATTTACCAAAGACGACATTATTTTTATGCTTCTCGTTAACTTGTTTTCAGCTTTAGTGATTCTTATGCTTCCTGGGTACAAGTCAAGCTAAGACCACAGTGCGCCTCCCACAGCCTCCTGTTGAGGGGTAACCTAAGAACGTCGTAAGCACATTCTTCTGAGCTCCTCACAGACGGTTCTTCATCTGGGCCATCGTAAAGGCAGAAACTTACATAGTTTACACATTTTTAAAGATAAATAAAAACAACCATTATTACCATATCTACTGACGTGCACTCCCAGAACATACATTTATTCTCTCAGGGCTTCACCACTGGTTGATGACTTGTTTTAATAATCTTTTCCCTGTTACCCTTAAAAATCATTATGGTTTTAATATGCTCTTATCTAATGTAGTAAGCTCCATCTTCCCATTAGATTATAAGGGAAACGAGTTTGACCTTGGAACATACTCAGCTGCCTTTCAATAAAGCGTGCGTGCATGTGCGCTTGCATCCCCCCCCCCCCCCCCACACACACACACACTCACACACAGGCACGCGCACACATATAATCTTCTTGGAGCCTGGTCTTGCCTGTCTCCCTTCTTGGCCTCATTACAAGCAGTCTGGCATTTGAGTTAGGTAGAGGGGACAGCAGGAGATGTAACTGTCTAGAGTTCACTTTAGCTCAACAAATAGTTGTATTATTGGAGCCAACTAGAATGTATGCCCAATATTTGGGGTACTTAACCTAATGCAAAGGGCCCTTGGGCTGCAGTGACTCAGTGCTCAGCAGTTAAACGAGTAAGGGACAGAGCAGTCTGCTTCCATAAAGATTTCAGCCTATAGAACCTCATGGGGCAGTTCTGATTGGACCTGACACCGGTGAGGGGAAGTGTTGGCGGAGTCAGCTGACAGGGCCTGTGGGGTAGGTTCCGTGGGCTCTGCTGACCAGCTTTGTCCTTACAGGAGGTGCAGCCATGAAAGCTGGTGTGAAAGAGGGTGACCGCATCATCAAAGTGAGTGAGCCCCCGTCCCTCGCCCTGCTCTTGGACACCGGAGGGAGGCCGGGGCCTTGGCCTCTCCCTCAGCTCACAGCTGCTCGTCAGCCACTGTGAGAATGTGGCGATTAGGAAGGGGGGGGTTAAGATAGCTAGGTTCCATGTTCTAGTCACTTTAATTCTAAAAGACCAGGTATTATTACCCCGATTCACAAATGATGAAAACAACATTAAGAGGAAGAGGTGGTGACTGGGGAAGGCTTCATTCATCTTCCTCAGCCTGGCATTCGCTGACTTGAGGTTGCTGCCAGTTCTAAAACCTCAGAATCTGCCCTATTAGGTGAAGGCATAGAGTCCCAAACTTATGTGGCTTCCTGCCCCCCTTTCAGGAAAAAAAAAACAACATTTTTTTTTAAACTGGCAATTAAAGGCTATAGCCTATAATTCGGGGTAAAATGTAGGTGCCTGTTTTCGCAGTGCCTCCTGGAGCCCACCCCCAGGGGGCGGTATAACTCACGTTGGGCAACACTGGTTTAGTGCTTTCCTCTGCAGAGAACTAGAAGGGCTGCGGAAGTCCGAGATGAGGATCCCAAGGCCTCTGGTGAGGAAGCCGTGTGTTTCAATCACCCTACACGGACTTGTGTAGGAGGTCAGGAAAGTACGAGGGGGCGGGCTTCAACAAGTTTTTAGGAAAACTGGAACGAGAAGACCACTGTATTTTCAACAGACTTTTTGAAGGCCCCTTATAAAAATAGTGCCAAAAATGAATGAACAAATTGAAACATTGTCGTCGTGTCCCATCCCTCACCCCTCCCAGGGAGACAAAACAGGTTATAGATGTGAACAAATATGCAGAGTGAGTGGAGTCCGCTCCAGCACATGGAGAATGGCTTCCTGTGGAAGCCGCTCCTGGGCTCCCAGCACCACCGTGCAACAAATGCTTTTTTGCAATGAGTGCCCCTTTCTCCTGACAGGTGAACGGCACCATGGTGACCAATAGCTCACACCTGGAGGTGGTGAAGCTTATCAAATGTGAGTTGGCGACAGAGACAGCGGGGACGGGGAGCAGGTGGGCCGAGAGGAGGCTTGTTGGCCGGGAGGCGGTGCAGTGGCATCTTTAATCTTGCAGTGGAGTGATCCGCTTGGGCTGCCACAGTGCGCTGTGATTGCTTGAAGTGGCGACACACTGTGTCCCTCATCTGACGTCTTTGGTCTGCCTGCATCCATCTTTGCCTTGCTGTGGAGACCGTGCCCCACAGAGACCAGGTCCAGCTCAAGTACAGTTGGCCCTCAGCTTGCATCCTCAGACCTTTTTCCTTCACATCCTTACTGTTTTTTTGGGGAGAGCAGAAATATTCTTTGTTTGCAAGGCTTGCATGGCCCAAGCAGTTGAGCCAGTGCAGGTAAGCAGATAGACGCAGCAGACATTGAGGAAAGAATGAGAGGATGTGGTGGTTTGCAGCAGGTAGAGGGCTAGAATGGCTGAGTCTGCTCCGTGATAGGCAGGTCGTGTGCTTCATGGGGGCTTTACATTGGCTCATTCATGAGTGAGAGAAAGGAGGAAATGGGTGGCCCATGGGGATGGAGTGTTGGTTGAGGTCTGTGCTTGAAGAGTGGGAAGGAAGCAGTACTTGAGCAGATGCAAGGTAGGGGGCGAGAGTTAGAGACTGGATGAGGTGTTAGAGGTGAGAGTTTAACCTATAGAATTACAGCAGAAAGAGGGAGAAACTCATCCTATGTACCGGGACTGTCTGGCTCTCCGGAACAAGACAGCGATCGATGCAAGCTCTCTCCATCTGTTTTCCTCCAGCTGGTGCCTACGTAGCACTGACTCTCCTGGGCTCTTCTCCATCTTCCGTTGGTGTCTCTGGGCTCCAGCAGGATCCAGCCCCAGCAGGAGCCCCCCGAGTCACCGCTGTGATCCCACCACCACCGCCTCCACCACCGCTGCCACCTCCACAGCGCATCACAGGTCCCAAACCACTGCAGGTAATGGGCCTCCTGGCTCCCCTTCCTCACTCTGTTGTCCGTGTAAAGAGCTCCCCACTGGAGCGGAAAGCAGGTTATACTTAATAAAATTCTGGCTAGCAGAAAGATAAGCCAAAGACATATGAAAGGCCATCAAAAAGTCAAACAGGAAGGACTGCATTTAGGGGTTGCTCCAGGCCTTAGTGTCCTCTTCCTATGTAAATGCATTGGCGGTCTTGACAGTTAAGTATGTCTCCTCGGGGTGTGAAAGGAGGCCCTTTGAGTTGCCTCCTCACAGGACAAAGGGTGCATACCTCCAGCACGGACCAAGCGTGTCTGTGAGACACTATTGCCAGTCGGTGTGACCAGGGTATGGCATAGAGTCAAAGAGTAGGAGAAAGTTCCTAGAAAGCAAAATGCTGCTTGGAGCAGATACCTGGAGCCAGTTGGCTAGAAGTTGAAAAGGAGAAAAGGACAAGAGTAAAGAGCACTGTAGGACTGTGGGAAACCTGTGTGAGGAGCGGAAAGAGGACACGGTACAGGGAACAGGGAACAGGATTTTCTGTTGGATACTAGGAGATTAAGCCAGCAAGCACTGGGAGAAAGAGGTTGGAAAGCAATTTGATACCAGAGTGATTACAGCTAAAGTTTCAAGGAAGTTCAGGAGTAAAAATATGTTTTGTTTTTAATCTGAATTCTGTTGAGGTACTGAGAGTTTGCAAAACATGCTGATGGCCAGGTTTTATTCTTCAGGGTTCCTAGTCCAAGAATCAGCTAGTAGAGGAGAGTGAAGCTATTGAACTGGTCTCACTACTGTTGTGTTTTCCTTTCCGAGGACTCTGAAGTTCAAAAACATGCCACTCAGATCCTTAGGAAGATGCTGAGGCAGGAGGAGAAAGAGTTACAGGTAAGACTACTACTGAGGATAGTCAGGCTGCTGCCGTATGAAAGAGTGTGCTTTCAGAGCCATCTGCCAGTATGTGCAACTCAGTCTACAAGTCATGTCCTGTCTCTGTGACAACTTGCGAAACAAAATCTCAGAACCATGTGAGTGTTGTACTAGACAAGTAGAATTTGTGAAAGCAGAATTTGACTAGTAGACCTTGTGAGTAATAGAGTAGTGAACACGAGGACAGAATGCACACAAGTTCTGAGAGGCAGGTAGGATAAAAAGGGAATATTGGGACTGAGTATACTCAAAGTCGGTTGGAAATAATCCTGGCTTCCAAGGAAAGGAAGAATAAGAGAGAAGGAGTAGCAAAGGTAAGTTAATGGTGAGGTCAGCTGATTAAAGTGGAGGCTCTGTGGTAGAGAGAATGAAGAGGAATTTCCAGGGGTAAGGATGATGTACACAAGGAAGCGTAAGCTGCTTAATTAGGCTGGAGGAGAATGACCACATTCCTATTACAGCTGTGACTTGCAGCTACCTCCTCACCCCTTCATTTTAGTTTAGCAAGTTACTGTTAGTGCCCACTGTCTGTAAAGTATTATTGTAATACCTGTGGTGTACAGAGATGAAGAAGGTTGTACATTTCTTGCCTTCAGCATGTTGAACTCTAATTCAAATTCCAGTGGGAAAGAGAGTGGACTAAAAGAAGAGAGCAGTTAATTAACAATGGGAGATGTGGGAAAGGCTCCACAGAAAGGGGATAGCCTTTCAGTTAGCTAAGTGTGAGACTTATGAGAGTGGGCCAAAACAAATGTACATAGGGAAAGGAATGCTAGTGAGTGGAAAACATAAATCAAGATGTGAGATGTGAAAACATACTCATTTATTTAGCAGGCATTGAGTTTCTGCTGTTGGGTATTGCCCCAAGTGTATGTAGGGGGAAGGGGGAGAGGTAAATGGGGCATTAGGGTCAGGGGTGAAGTGGGTACAAAGATAAATGAGAGATGAGCCTTTCTTTCAAGGTGTTTGCAATCTGGTAGGATATGGCTGGGTGAATGAATAGTTAATGTACGTCTTAGTAAATGTTGATAATTAAATGTTGAAATGTCATAGAGTAATCAAAACAGTGTGGTGTTGGCAAAGAATAGTCTTACAGATTAATGGAATAGAATTGAGAGCCTAGAAATTAACCTTCATATCTATGGTCAGTTGATTTTTGACAAAGGTGCTAAGACAATTCAGTGGGCAAAGATTAGTGTCTTCAACAAATGGTACTAAGACAATAGATATCCACATGCAGAATAAGTTTGGATCCTCTGTTATTCTGGGTTGACTAGAGAAACAAATTCATAGAAACTCATATATGTGTAAGAGAGAGCTTTATATCAAAGAGTAATTGTATATTGAGAAAACATCCCAGCCCTGTCCAGATCAAGTCCATAAGCCCAATATTAGCCATATGTCAGATACCAGTCCATAAATTCCTCTTCAGACTCACGCAGCCATGCAATAATTCCGAATGCAGGAAGATGACAGGCCAGTGGGTAGAAAGTCTTGTGGATCCAGTGGTGGTGGAAGTATCTTTGTGTTGGTATGGGTCTCCACATGGATCCTCCAGCTCCAGGGCTCTGGCTCCATCAATGTGGCTCCATGTGGCTTGTCAACAGGAATGTCTTGCAAGGAGAGAATGTGTGGCTGCCAATGAGCTATTTATCTCTGGCGCCGCCACATGAGGTCAGCAAGCTGCAACCTGGTTGACAGGCCAAACTCCACCCCTTCACTCTTGATAGTCTCAAATTGACAACAAATTATGTAGCTACCACACACACCATCTCCAAAAATTAACTCATGTCCATTACAGTAAAAGATGAATTAAGATCTCAAATATAAGAGCGTTAGCCTAAATTGCATAGTTTATAAGAACTAGAAACATAGTTTTGGTGAAAACACAGTTGTAAATCTTTATGGCAACAGTTTCTTACAAATGACATCAAAAGCACAAACAACCAAAGGGAAAAGTGATAACGTCGGACTGCCATCAAAATTTAAAGCTTTCGTGCATCAAAGGCACCATGAAGACAGTAAAAAGACAACTCACAGGGTGTAAGAGAACACAAGTTAGACATCTGATAAGGTTCTAGTGCTAGAATATAGAAGCACTCTTACAACTCAGCAATAAAAAGGCAAATAACCCAACTGAAAAAAGAGCAAAGGATGTGATTGGATAGCTCATAAAGAAGACATTCGATGGTCAGTAAGCACATGAAAAGATGTTCCACACCATTACTTATTAGAGGAATGCAAATCAAAACCTCAGTGTATACTCACGAGCATGGGTGTAAATCAAAATAACAGAACCTAAGTATTGGCAAAATGTAGAGAAATCGCCTTCATATATTACCAATGGGAATGTAAAAGAATCCAGCCACCGTGAAGCGTTTGGCAAGTTTTTAAAATGCTGCACAGTGTTACCATATTAACCCAATAGTTGCATTCGTAGGTCTATGCCCAAGAGAATTGAAAAGTTATGTTCACAGAAAAGCAACAATTATTCATAATCACCACAAAGTAGTAACAATCCAAATGTAACAATCCATCAGCTAATGAGTAGATAAATAAAATGTGGGAAACTGTAGTTATCAATCAGTACCTAAAGGAATGAAGTGCAGATACATACTGCAACATCGGTGGCCTTTAAAGCATGCAGAGTGAAAGAAGCCGTACACAATTCCAGTTGTCTGGAATACCCAAAGTAAACCCAGGAAAGGCAAGATGCAGCTGATGGCTGCTGGTGGCTGTGGGAATGGAGGGGTTGGGAGCTACTCTGCTAGCAAGTATGAGTTTCTTTTTGGAGTGGTGGAAGTGTTCTGGAATTAAATACTGCAGTGGTTGTACAACACTGTGCGTATATGAAGAGCCAAGGAATGGTACACTTTACAGTGGTGAAATGTGTAGTATGAGGGAACTTTGAAGATTCGTGAAAAAATAGAATTAAAAGATAGAAATGAGGAAAACAAACAAAAACCCTATTTTTCACCATAAGCACCAAGACACTTTCGTAAGAAGTAATGCCAGCCATTTATTCCATTCATAAAGAACTAAGGGTCCTGAACTTTGTCAGTATAAGTACAGTTTGTTTTACATTATTAACTGACTAAAGAAAAATGGGTGTCCTTTAAAGATTTTTGTAGACTAGGAAGCAAAATGAAGCCAGAAAGAGCCAAATCAGGACTGTAAAGTGAGTGTCTAATGATTTCCCATTGAATCTTCAAAAATTGCCCTTGTTTGATGCAAAGAATGGGCAGGAGCATTGAAAATCTCATTGGTTGGAAAGTGCTCTGGGCCTTGAATACCAAGATGAGTTTGGAGTTGATGCTGAAGGCAATGGGAACTGGCTAAGGAATTTTGATAGGAGAGTGATCATATTTTCCAATGTATTTTGGAGAAATGTATTAAGAGGATTGATCCAGTCATGCAGAAAAGAAATGATGGGTTTGGCAAGACCAGAATGAGTAAGAACAGAAAGGTGGGACAGAAATGGGAGGTCCAATCAGTGGAGGATATGAACTAGAAAAGGAAAATCACGGAGAAGAAGGAGTAAAAGGTGGCTTTCAAAGTAGATGCCTAAATATATGCTGATGCCATTGATAGAGCCAAGTGAAGGACAGGAGCTGGGTTTAAGGAAAAGAAACGAAGAGCGGCCTTAGACCAGCTGAGTTTGAGCTGTATTCAGATAGACTGCCCACCCGCCATATGTAAGGGCTGAAGCTCAGGAGAGAAGCTGGGTTGAAAGATTGAAGCATTCTAAGGGTGCAGGTGGCAGTTGAGTTTGGGAACTGGATGAGATTACCATCACGCAGGGCATTGGTGGTGCAAGGACAGCAGGGTTGAAGGTGGAATTTTGGAAACCCTGCTTCTGTAGCAGACAGAACCAGCTTCCAACATCGCAACATGTGCTCTTATTTTTGTATTGTTTTCTTGCCCTTTCCCCTGATTGGACTAGGTTCCTTAAAGGTAGGACCACGCTTCTTAGTTCTACATTTATAAAAGTTCTACATTTATAGAGACCCCACGTAGCACAATGTCCGGCACATATTAAGTCTAAGTAAGTGTTTGTGAGACTGAAGACTGGGCCTAGATTTAAAAGTGTAGGCAGCGAGTGAGGGAAGGGATAAGCTGATGAAGTCAGTATGTGAGAAGAGCCAAGGCAGTGCAGGGTAAGTGAAGGCGGAGCAAAACTTCAAGGGGGAAGGATTCAAAACAGGTGAGGTGAAGATGTGACCCCTAGGCTTGGTGGGTAGGTCATTTTGCTCTTGGAAAAAGTAGCTGTTGATGAACAGCCGTCTAAGGTGCAACTCTGGGTCTCTCTCCAAGAGTTGTGTGGAGGAGAGAGGAGTGAAGACCATCACAGACACATGGGAAGAGTTAGTCCCACGGACTCGTGGACCGTGTTACTCACAGCCTCTAAGTCCCCAGACCAGAAAAAACTAGAAGATGCCCTGCTACCACTACCCACTGCTCCAAAAGATCTCAGCGAGAGGTCCTCAGAGAGTAGGAGAAAAACAGAACCAAAGAATAACGTTCTAAATCATGAAAAAGACCAGGCTTACTGGTCAGAGAGAGACTAGAAGAACCCCCTGAGACTGGGGTCCTTAGTCACCCTTCAGGTCTGGAAGTGGACTCACCCCCAGGGCTCAATTTTCAGCCAAACAATAGACAGGTCCATATGGGGAATCATAATACCAGGGAGTTACACAATACCTTAGGATAATCAAGCATTTGAGAGCAAAAGGTCAGTATACACCCAAAGACAAAATTTAAAAGGGTTGGGGAAAGGACAAGAATGGAAGGCAGCAAGATAGTGTAGAAGTGGGATGGGTGACATTACATTGTGGGGGTTGCAGTCGATGAGGATAACGGAAGATAACGTGTGTATTATTGAATGGAGAACTGGTCTTCCCTGTAATTCTTCATCCAGTTCACAGTACCTTGAAAAGAGCCGCCGTAATGAAGAGATGGAGAGGTGGCCAGAGTGGTGTGTGTTGAGGAGAGACTGGAAGGAGTGTGAGGCCCTGACTGGGGACAGGAGACTGAAGAACGGGGCAGGGGATTGAGAATAGTCAAAGCCGAAGAAAAAGGTTGTGTTGTTGGGCTTTGGTTTTGTTTTTGTTTTTAAGAGAGAATTAACGTGTGTTTGTAGAAGGAAGGAGCTACAATGGGAGTGGTGATTTAAAGATAGGTGAATGGCTCCTAAGCTGAGCCCGGAGACTTGAAAATTAGCCTTTATGAAGAGTTCAAGAGAGTGTCTCATCTGAGGCAGGAGGAAAGAATGACGGGAGATAATTTCAAGTGGCATTCAGGCTAGAGGTCTCCCCTTTCCTGCAGGAGTACCCCCAGTGCAGCCCCCACCCGTCCGCCGTGAAGGCTTCTGCATGGCTGTGACGGTGCAGGTTTCAGTGGCGCTCACAGAGTAAGGCAGACTAGGAAGAGAGGCTTGGCCATCTACTCCCCCAAATCAGCCTGTGATCACAGTGGTCCTGTCAGTCCCTTTATGCAGGGGCTCCCCAGGAATTAGGGGCTGACTGGCAGCTGACACCAATGTGGAGAGAACTCAATGCTTGGTAGGCCTGGAGAAGGTGAATTATTAAGTGTGGGGAGTTTGTAGAAAGGTGGTCAGCTAGCCGAGAGACCCCAGATGACCGCGCACAGCATGGAAAGGCCTTCCAAAAGGTCTTGGAGAAATTCCACCATCTTTCAGCTCCATCTTCCCACAAACTTGCTGAAGCCCCCTCAGATGTGAACCCAATGTGTTTAATTATTTAACCAACAAGATCAATGGAACCTTTCTTTCTGTAAAATAATAAGAGCTGCCCTGAATTCACTTGTAACGGTGTGCCCGAGGCCGTGTGAAATGCGTTACATGATCTCAGCGCACCCTGCGAGGTATTGTCGTCTCCATTTTATCAATGCAGACATACTGAAGCTTGTCCAAGTCTACACAGCTAGTAAGTGGAGGTGCCAGCGTTCACAGGCAGATCTCCCTGACGGCAGGGCCCAGGCTCTAGACCACTGCGCTGTACTTGAGTGCAGACAGTGAGGAGGACGAGATGCGTGGTTGGACAGGATGCCTACCGCAGGCTGAGGGTGGGGAACTGGCTCCTAGTCAGCACTGCTGCTTCTCATCCCCCCATGGTTTTGCTGTCTGTACATTGCCTCTCTAGCACCTGTTTGTGTACTGCCCTGAATGCTCACTTCAATGTTTCACACATAAGCAGTAGTCTAGAAAAACATCTTGTCTTTGTTAAAATGCTAGGCGTCAGCTGGGCCTCGATGGCTGAGTCCCCTTTGGACAGGCCTTTGGATTTTGTCTTTGTTCCCTACCTGCCTCATGTGTTCTACTGCTTCTCCTTGTCGATCCCTTTTCCTGACCCTCCTCATGTTGAAGTCATAAGCATCTCTCAGAAGACTTAAGATCTCTTTCCTGCTCTTCGTTTGGGGGTAACTCCTGCCTCTTCTTCCCACTGTGGCGTCATCCCTTCTCTACTAACCACCCTCTGCCTTTTCCCTCCTGCCTCTCCTCCTCACCTCCCAGCGTATCTGTGAGGTGTATAGCCGGAACCCCGACAGCCTGCTGGAAGAGCAGATTGAAGGTACCCGGCGGCGAGTCGCTCAGTTACAGCTGAAGATCCAGCAGGAGACTGGTGGCTTAGTGGTGAGTGCTGGTAGGCGCAGCTCTAGGAAGGGCACTGTGCAAGCCGATTCGGGGATCATTACAGAGAAAGTAAGGACGGAAGGCTGTGAGCCATGCCAGCACCCCAGGGCTAAGCTAATGATAATTATTATTATTTTTATTTTAAGTCCACAGTTCTCTATTTTACTGCAAAGAGGCTGAGCACGATCCCTGGCACTTGAGTGCCCTATAAAGAAAAGGCCTCTTTCCTGCCCTCTAAGAAATGACTGTTACAGTGGAAAGAAGAACTCAGAGAGGGCCCGCTTTTTGTCTCTTAAATTCTTCCTCTACTTCGAGGCACTTCCTCACATACGTGCATCTGACTCATGACTTGCCTGGTAGCTTTTTCCACCGCCCACCCCTCCTGTAATGGGTCTTCTCACAGAAATCACAGCAAGACTTAAAGACAGCCTGAGTGGGGGGGGTTCCCTCTTGGCGGCTTGTGGAAGATCCCGGTGAGGAGACCCCCAGCATCACCGGCGCTCATCAGGAGCTTCACCAGTAGGGTTGTACCTCCGGCAGGCCGAGCTTCTTGGGGTAACTAAAAAGAAACTGGAGGGAACCCAGCAATAATCCTTGTTGAAGCCAGTAAAGATTATTTGAAGGTTTTTTTTAAGAATATGCAGATCAAAAAAGTTTGAGAATCACAGGGTAATCCATTTATTTTAGCTTTCATTTCCGGAAGGACTTCCCAATATCAGATGGTTATTTATTGCAAGCTCAGGTTCTGCACCTGGATTGTCTAGATTAAAATCCCACCTGTAGTATCGTCTGCTGTTAAGATCTTGGACAAGTTCCTTAATCCCCGAGAGCCTCGGTTTCCTCATTTATAAAATGGAGATCACAATGCACTGCAGGAGGGGAGGGGTCCCGGGAAAATTCAGTCATGGCCTCTGCACAGAGGCTGTTTGAGCGTGCACTGTCACTGCTGGTGTCCGTGCAATCGTACGCCACCAGGTGGTGAGCCCAGGGACCTGAGTTCAAATCCTGGGGTATCGTTTACCTCCTGGGTCACTTGGGCAAGTGACTTAAGGTTTCTGAGCCTCTGTCTTCTCGTTTATCCTGTGAGGGTAACACACCTAACCAGAGCTGCTGAAGGATGAAATGAGACCTAGAAAAGACCTGGGCAAGAGAGCACTGTCAGCGAAGCTTCCTCCCCCAGTGTGGCCAGTCAGCCCCAGGCCAGCGGCCCTCCATCCCCTCCAAGGGCTCTCCAGGTCGACCGTTCCTGCCTCAGTCACCTGCTAAGTTCACAGAGTTAATGTCTAACCTGACTAAGGCAGTGCATGTTTTGAGATCCAAGGTGATACATGATGTGAGATTTTAGAATTCTGCTCATAGTAAAGCTCCCACCCCACCATGATCAGGGGTCACCATCCTTCTCAAACTATCCAAATGAAGTGGTACTTCATCTAGCTGGGCAGTATAAGCCAGTGATGCAGAAAAGGGCACCAGTCATAAACAAAGAAAGCTTTGATTGGAGGAAGGAAACCGTGGGAGCAGAGGTTCACAGAATTTGTCACTCTCTGGTCTTTCTTTTTTAGGACATATTTCCCCTGTACGGTGACACCAGCCAGAGATCATCAGAAGGTGAGCCCCACCCTCTGCGACCCCCCCTATGTCTCTCTTTTTTTTTTTTAACATTTTATTAGGGGATCATACAACTGATATCACAATCCATACACACATCAATTGTGTAAAGC